CAGATAAATTAAAACTAGTAATATTTTTGTACCTCACATTTTTTTTATTTTTGTCTCTCTTCTTTTTTACTACGGGGATTCAATTTCACAGAACTATTAAGACAAACAAAAAGATTGCACATTTAATTAAGGTTTACCCTTTTACTGATTTGATTTGAGCTTTTATATCCAGTTCATGACCTTGACCTGGCAGAGACTGATATTGGAAAAGTTTGAATCACATTATTGATGAGCAGAGGGGCAGTGTTCCAATATTTGAGGGTGATGAGATAAATATTTGGCATTTCTATTCAAACTTACAGTTTAATGTTTTTTAAAATTTAAAGATATCCGCGATGGCTAGACCTACAAGGACAACACCGGAACATCCATTTCACCGAAATTACCTCGTTCTCATTCTCCCAATTAGAAAATGCCCGCGAACGAACTCATCGCATCATAAATTTCCACGAATGAAAAAACCGACACTGCTGTTAGATATTTTCGAAAAACGGACGAAACGTCGACGCAACGCACGTGGTCGATACTTTAGAGCAGCCTTAGACGCGGACCGAGCGTCGTTACGGACGAGACTAACAGCTCGCCTCGGATTTAACTTTTGTCTTCGAGATGTTGAGGTACCACCGCGAGAGCGACTTGTCCGAAGCCAGAAATAGAGTCTTGGGTGATTGTACGCGACGTCTGGTGGTAAATAGGGAAATACGTTTAGGTACGGGTCCTTTGAACCTCCGGCTCTCACGCATAATTTGGAAAATTCTAGTCAAAGCACGCACTCGAACAAAGCGTTGTTAAGATCGCAGATGCAAAATTATTAATGGACCATTTCATTTGCACAGGCGAAATGACAACACCCTGTATCCTGATAGAATCACAAGTTCATTATATTTTTCACTACAGCTACTTATTTCTTTAATATTGGTTGCAGTCTATGATCCGACTGTAAAAAATATGTCCTCATCGCCATGCCAGATGAAACAATTTTTTTTAATAATAATTTATTAACAAATAACTTCCCGACTGATTGCCAGTCCGTATCCTGTGAAGGCTATTTTTAATAAACAATTGTTTTATTTCTCACCTGTTATTCTTATACCAAATAAATTAGATAAAAATCTATAGTAAATAACATGTAGAATAAGCCCCCCCACCCCTGAATGCCAGCATTTTTCCTGTTTTTTTTTTGACTTACCCTCACTCTTAAATCCGAAAAACTACATATGCAATTGTAGCTTTATTTATTGCGAAGAAAATGCTATATGATTGCCAGTTAAAATCCTGTCAAGAATAAAGATTGCCACGAATCCGATCCGAAAGTTCCGATAATTTTATTCGAAAATAGGGAGCAACAGTGAGCGCTATGTATTTTATAATATAAGGCAGAGAAGGATGCATTATAGCAACTGCGCAGTAACCTCTGTAAGAAAGAGAAAGGTGAGTGTTTAGTTCTCTGTGTAATAGAAAAAGATAAGTATATTCTCCCACCGAAAGTCTGTTTTGTAGTAAATAATCGTAATGTTTACTCCATAAATTGAAAATAAAAAATTAATAAATATATTTAGTAAATACTGTAGTGAGTATTTTTTGAGCTGTTTTTAATTTTATTCACCGCTTGGCAGCATTATTTGTAAAGTAATAAAAAATTCTAAATTAATTGTAGTTTTTTTATTTTTTTCCAAAGCCTTCATTAAAATTGCAATTTCTTTTCTTTGTCTTATTAACTTACATTTTTATCATTGCTTACAGATGACATAAACTAGATTGGCATAATGAATAATTGAAGAAAATATAAAATTACATTAAAATAAAACATAACATTACATACTAAACGATAAAAAAATAGTATAAATAAGAAATCGATTTAATACTATAAAAATATTTTTATTTCTGAATTAATCACTATCTGATTCATCAGAATTCGCAAGTAACAAAAAAAAATATTTTCATTAACAATAAAAATTAGGTTTTGTTAATCGAAAAAAAATATTTACAATATTTTCAATCTGATGTCTGTGTTTAATTAATTAGTTAATTATTATTATCTCGTCTACTAGTTAACGTACACAGATAAATTTGATAACATAATCCATAATATCATAAATTACGCCATGAGTATTCGGTTAAAATAACCTCACCATGGTTGAACCCACTTAGATAACAGTTTCTAAAAAATTGTTCTTCAAAGTTAATAGTTTTCGATTCTTCACTACATAGAAAACACTTCTTTATTTTTCTATGTAAATTTTCAACGTAATACACGAGTAAATATTAGAAGCAGAAAAGGATGTTTATACACATAAAACAAATATATTAAAAACGTGGTGTATCAAGCATGCTCTAACCAACTAAAAGTGGGAGAATAGACTTATCTTTTTCTGTTACACAGAGAACTAAACACTCACCTTTCTCTTTTCTGACAGAGGTTACTGCGCAGCTGCTATAATATATAATATATATAGCGCTCACTGTTGTTCCCTATTTTCAATTCGTTGCATTTTTTATTCTTGTCAGGATTTTAACTGGCAATCATATAGCATTTTCTTAGCAATAAATAAAGCTACAAGTGCATATGTAGTCTTTTGGGTATAAGAATGAGGGTAAGTCATCAAATTAATATACTTGTTTTACACCTAGTCGCCACGTATTATTGACATAAATTGACTAAATTTATTTGGTATAAGAATAACAGGTGAGAAATTAAAAAAATTAATTAAATAATTTTTTATTAAAAATTGCCTTGACAGCATATGGACTGGCAATCAGTCGGGGAATTATTTGTTAATAAATTTTATTAGTAGAAAAAATGTTTCATCTGGTATAGCGATTAGGACATATTTTTTACAGTGGGATCCTCTACTATTGTGTTTGCATCTATAAAGGTGCATTATATAGGCCACTTCCTGCATATAGGAAAGATCTTTTGCATTGTATTTTAATCAGTCGTTTTATTTGTTTTTTCATATTTGGATTGAAAGAATTGGAAATTCCAAGTTAAACATGTTACACCTCGAAAAAATGTAGAAGAATTATGGCGTGTGTCAAAAATCATGTTATTTTTTTCCAAAAACAGTAATATCCTCAAGGTTTAAGACCATGACCTCAAATGAAAACTATTTATATTTCTTAAAACCCTTAATAATTGTATCATGAAGTTGGCAGATTAAAGTAAATTTTATATTTTAAATTGCTTTATAACTTAATTATATTATGATTGAAATGTTCATTTTTTGCCAAAACTATGTTATTTAAATTTTCAAATCAATAAATGTAAACAATGATTTGTTGGATCATTTTTTGTTTCACTTTATGTACCTATCCCAATCCTTCCTAAAAATTTATACTAAATATTTTTTATTTTATAACTAATCTATTCAGTTTTTAATCCTTATAATACAAAAAAATGACTACATCATAACATGAAATTGCTTAACTTATATAATTATTGAAATTGCTTATTTTATTACGTAAACGTTGTAAACTAAATGCATTTTCCTAAGTGCGGTCGAAGTTTTTTCTGACAGTTCCGCGGTAAATATTTTCGCGGTAAAATTTAGTACACACTGCTACCACATTGGCAGCACAGTAGGAGCACTTTGTTTCTCTTGTTGTTCTTGACCATCTAGTTTGATCTATGCGATACTCTTACCTGCATTTACGATGGTTATCCAACGGCAAAAAAGATTGACGATTGAACGTGAAGTTTGTTTGAAAGTTTGCTGATATTGAAACAGATAAAGAAGAAATGTGACACAGATGGAACATTTTGAAAAATATAACCAAATGTTATGATCGCTAATTTCAATTTTGTATGATAATGTTCTTTTTTCAAAAAAAAATTACTATTATTAATGAAAATTATTAACTAGATCACAAAATTTTGATAACATTTATGCACTGTGGCACCAAAATTTATAATCATGTGGACCCAAAGCTGAGGAATATTGAGCAATAAAACGCTGTAGAAAATTAAAAAATGTATTGCTGGGAATTGCATTTTATTTTGTAGAATTTTGTGTGTGCCTATCCACATACATCTTATTATATCTTAACTGATTTTTTTTCATTCTGCTGTAGATTTATTTTGTAATAGTTTGTTTTGACTTCTCGGGTCTGTATTCTTAATTTCTTGTGTAAACTTTGTGAATGAGAAATATTGTTTTGGAGGACAATACTGTGTACATCATCATCAGCATCAACCTAGAAAAATGAATAGCGAAGGGTCACATTACACTTGCTGTATTATTGTAGCGTGAAGGTGTACTTAATAAAAGTGTATTCGAAACCGCGATTCTTTTCCTGAAAATATTGATATTGTACTGTATGGAATATTATGCTTAAAAGTTTGTAGTAGATCGACGCAACAGTTTTTGAAGAAATACAATTTGAACCTAGTTGTTATTGTAATAAAAAAACTATTTTTGCTCATAATTTTTAAGCAACTCTAAATATTAATATCACATTTTCTAAACAGATAAAAAAAATTTATGCGAAATATATATATTTTTTAATTAACAGTGACGTCTGTACGAGATTTGTGCAATTTTTTTCCTATAATTATTCATTTCTAAATCCTGTACTATTTATGAAATCCTCATTCAAGTGGGAAGAAATTTGAGCTTACGACTTTTTTTTGAACGATGCAGCGTTTTCAAGTAAAAAACTAAAAACAACAATTTGATGCATAGCGAAATCGCCAAAATTAGAATGATAAAAATATTTTTCATGTAAAAGATACTCTATAGAAACATTGTCAGCGGTATTTTCTTTTAAAATGTCGTTTGCTGCTCGAAAGCAATGTGGAAAATGCCAAAGAAATGTCTAGAATGATTTCATTGAATGATTTCAATAGTTTCTTCGAATTTCAGCACCCTGTATCTCGAAAAGGGAGCGCTCTCGGATCATATAACTGGAGATTCAATTCACATTGTGAATTGAAAACGACTTAGCAAATATCGATACTCGATGTTTTGTCCGTGGGAGCGACGCAAACAAAAACGCTGCAATAATTAGTTATTTTTTATTAAACATTTTTCTGTACTCCATTAAGAACACACACACATGAGATTTCGCTAAAGGACTGTAAAATTTTCTAACAGTTGGTCAACAGTTTGCAAATTATTCTCCTAAAAATCATACCACTTTTATATAAAAAACACCTCAACTAGAATATATTTTCTATTTTTCTTTTACCGTATAGGAGTGATAAAATTCAACTAAAACCTGTCACATAATATGTTTGGTATTGTTGGCGCGTTTATATGTTTATATATGCAAGTACAAAATGTTGTTTGATGTACAATACTTAAGGGCATACCATTCACCCACTAAAGTGCATTAAAAGGTGAATTAAAAGAAAACATACATACGGAATACACTATATAATAAAATCGTCGACGAAAAGAACTTGTAAGCTAAGAAATGCGGCGTAATTATAACTAAACTTTACAAATGTCTCTATAGCAGATAGATTTCGCTGAAGACGAAGATATTGAACATCGAAAAATCCTCCATCGACAATTTTGAACAATGTTTGGAAAATAACGCACGTAGCAAAAGTCTCTATAAAGATTTCCTAAACTGGTCCTAATTCCTCGTAACACTAAACATCGTTTTTGTGAATGATGGTACATAATATTTAAACGTACACGAATGGTTTGAAATGCTTTCGCTAGAGTAACTTGTCCCCAGACGATCGGACATTTAAGGTGTATAATTTTTCGAAGCTACTTTAGTTTTGCCATGATATGCAGGGGTTGCATTTTAAATGTTATTGCTTCAACCGTTAAATTTAAATATGTATTGAATTGTTATATTTTGTTACGTATATGTTATGGGATATGCCTTTTCATATTTTGCTGATATGTCTTCATCCACATTTGCACATTATCTGCATGGTCACCCTGGTAATTCTGAATGTTACATGCACATTTTTAAAATACCAAAAAAAAAACACTCACCGGAAAATAAAAACCGTATACTTAAAACTTGTGAACCTCTGGTTTGAATTGAATGATTTTTTTAATAGGTTTATTCTTCAGTAACCAAGCTATGTCAAAAACTTTCTGCCAACTATTGTCAATTAGAGGCACATTGAAGCATGGTCTTTTCCGGACATTTTCTCTTTTTAATTGCAAGCGTTCTGGACAGTATTCATTGAAAGTTTTCCTGATCTGCGAATTGCTCTTCGGGAAGAATTTGATGACTCTACAAAAATTTGTTACAATGAAGTCAGTTTGGTACGAGGAGAATACACTAGATATTAACCTTAAGCTGTGTCCACACTATGTCGAACGATGTCGACTAAATCAAGTGATGAATTGGAGTTAAGGACAAACTATCTTCCGTAGAAACCAAAGGCGTGATGGGATGATTGATATTGCTGTTTCGTTTAGCATTATTAACAGGAAGCACATTATGACGCTTTTGAAAGATAAAAATAAACCCACTAAAATTCAGAATACCGGAAGTAATTTCTATATTAACTCTAGCACTGTCGATGCGAACTTACAGTTTTATATTTATTTATTACCTCAGATCCTGACACTAGACATTCAATAATGCAGCAGCTGCAACTGCTGGATCTTCTATATCACTCATAATAAATGAAACTATTTTTTAAAGTAACATAGGGTTTAAAAACAATGTCTGGCGATATATGTCCGTCAATATGTCCCCTCTACATAGTGGGGACATAGCTTTAACTTAAAATAGGTTTGTTCTCTTAATTTTGATGTGCTTTGTAGATTTCTATTAAAACATACGCTCTGATGCATGTCCAATAAAACCAGAGATAATGTCGGGATTAAAAAACTTCGTTTCATGGTTGCACCCTGTATATGCCCAAATTTAAATATGAATGTAAATTTTTGACATAGCATCGTTACTGAAGAACCAACAAATAAAAAAAAACAAACTAGTCACGGTGGTTATTAGGAATGTTCCTTTTTTTGGGAACATAATGGAGATAACTTTAAAAGATAATTTGTTGTATTTTTTTCAAAAACATAATTTACTGAGTCAGGATCAGCTTGATTATAGGGCTGGGCGACATACGACGAAGGCACGATTAAGGGGTCTTGGAGGGTATCTGAAAACTCGTTGGTTACTTTTAATAATAATACTTTTTTGGGTTAGGTTACTGGTATATGTGGTTTCAGTCATATGCGGATGACACGACATTTGTTATCTCAGCATTTAAACTTTCGACTGATACTTCAAATGCAGCTTTAGATCTAGAAGAAAGATGATTTAATGCCAAAATCTTCATTTAAATAAAGATCTAAATCTAAATCTAAATCTAAATTTACTCAAGGTAAGCCGTAGGAAAAAATGTTAAGCCTACTATAGACGACAAAATGTAGTGGTTGCATACCGATGAAGCTTTATTGAGCAAACTCTCGATCTTATGTAAACTTTGACACCATTAAAACGTGCTATTTTGCACTACTAAGCTCAACAATTCCCTATGCTGCTGCACTGTAGGGGCACAGTACTGCAGCACAGACTGTTTTAAATTACAAAACAGAACGATTAGGGTTATATGTGGTGCGCATTATCGTGCCCATTATAGACCCGTTATATTATGCCGTTGCCGTGCATCTTTGTTTATTCTACCTCAGCTGAAATCCACAAGTAGAAATCTTTCTTTGAATTTCACTTTGTATAATCTGTTAAAATTCCTTCTAATAATAAAATTTTGAAAAGAGCAATAAAAAACCATCTGCTTGCTCATTTTTTTTATCCGATTCATGAATACCTCCAAAGCAATTTAGTTTTCATCAAAAAAACAAAGAACTAATCAGAATTTTATGAATCGCGTACCTGTTGCTAGTATTTTTATTTTGCTTATTTTTATAATTTTAACATTTTTGTATTTCTACGATTTTGACTTGCTGACTTGCAAAAATATTCAATAAATTTATTTATTCTATTACATTACATTGTATTCGATTCGCGAAAAAACCAACTTTGAAACTGGAGCCACTTTTTAGTGGCCGGTTCTTTTTTGTCGGTGAGTGTATAAATATTTCAAATATACAAAAATTCTTAATGCCCATAAAAACTTACTTGTAACTATGCAAGAATAGTGCAATAACATACTCCTTACAGTATAAAATATCGGGGCTCTTCTATAATTTCATATTTGTTTCCTTTATCCTCGAGAAAAAGAAAGGATAATTTGATATTGTTTTTGCTAGATTATTGCTAAAACGTCGGGAACAATTTACTCGGTGAACAACAATTATTATAAAGCGCGTGCCAAAGCTCATTCATTATGATATGCCGTTCGGCATAGACCTAAGATATGTAATGGAAAAAATCCTCCGAGATGTGTGTCAGTAAAAAATCGTAAGAAACCTTATCGATATCGTTCTAGATAAATCCGAACCAACGGCGATTTTGCATCGCCAGTTGGATATAATCAAGTACTCGTAGATTTAAGTCTTACAAATCTATTGTCGGTCAAAAATGTGTCTCTTAACTAGGAAAAGCCTTATACGCTAAATCCCGACGGAGTTTTGCGATCGACGTCACCGTGTGTCGTCGAAAACCGCGTCGGAATCCATTTTAGAAATAGAAAAATTTTATTATAGATCTAGCCTTATTTGTTATAGTCGTTTTTACACGTCACATGTTTCGTAAACAAAAAAGGTGTTATTATCATTTTTTCCTTACGGCACTAGAAGTCGGACTCTTTTTAAAAACGACGACGTTTACACAAAATAAACGATTGCGTACAGGGTTTCAAGAAAATAACTCGCCACTAAAGAGCCGGAGGTAAACGACCTCGACCCTTTCGATATTGTTTTGTTGGCACAAGAAATTACTTTTGAAGGTATTGTTCCGCGAGGATTCAAGTATTTCGTTCGAAAGCTTACTTTAAAATAGAGCAACGGCGGTGCTGTTACTTTCAAACCCACCACGTATATTTTATTATTACTAGTTTACACTTACGGTTAGAATTAGATAAGTGTCGTATTTGTCTATTTGGCTGTGTGCGTAACAAGACAAGCGTTTTCTGTCAGGAGGATCTGGTATGTTACGTTTCCTTCCCTTAGTTTGAATACATCGATACATAAAAGGAATTGAGGCCTCTAAAATGGCCGTGTTTGGGATCGCTTTGAAAATGCAACCGAAGAATTTTTCATACTATTTTTAATAGTCATGTTTATAATTTAATTGTTCTCCTCGACTGTGTAGACGGAAAATAATAGAATCTTTCATGAAGCAATAAGTTAAAATCTTATGAGCATGATAAACAAAATAAAAAAAGAAACCAACGAGGAATAGTAATATGACCTGGACATTATGTTAATTTTTCATTTTGCCAAACCTCTCTTTTCTTATTAAATTTGTTTTGTCTTGCTCTGTTCTTTTAATATTCGAAAAATTAAAATTTCACTTTCTTGAAAATAATACTAAAAGCGTTTTGACTTTCGAATAGAAATGCAGTTTGTCTATCATGCGCACAAATTTAAAATTAATGCTACCATTTTTTTTGTACCATTCCGTGTGACGTGAGACTGCACAGAGTGAATTGATTTAATCAGCAAGAAACAATACAGTTAATTTTTTGTAAAACCATATATAATTAATATCCACGATTAGCAAACCTTCATCAAAATTCTTATTATTATGATCTATTCCTTGTGATGCACCGAATTTTACTTTGCTGTTAATTTTGATTGCTGTTACTTCATACTATAAAGCAGCAAGTCAATTCCACTCCAGAGTACCTCGATTTAGTAATAGTAATATATTTATTGCTCATAAGGAAATCCCTAAAGATAATTTACATATTGCTTCAGTTAATTCTTACAGAAAAACCTATTTACCCATTTACGTGAAAACTGATGAGAAAGCAAAAAAATAATTATTCATTAATTAATGGGAGTTAGTTTGTCAGCTAAAAACTAAGTAAAATCCACTCTTTAATAAGACAGCGAAATAAAAACTGGCGGACCAAAAAGCCCCGGAAAGTTTGATATCCAGACGTCAGATTACGAAAGTACGAATCTTATATCCCATATTTTTCAGCGTACGTCTCGGACGCTCAACTTTTCAAAAGTATTCGCAAGATTTTAAAACTTCCTAACCTTTTTATTTTCGTTCTACCAGCGGCATTACACATTTTGCAGTTCAACTAATATTAGGAAATGTTTATCTTGCCAAAGTTCGGGCACGTCGGGTTCCCGGAAAGTTTTTAGTTTTCCGGGGGAAAATCACAGGAAAGATGGATTTATTTTCATATTGGTCGTAACTGTGTAGACATGTTGCTGTCGTTTAACTCTTATCAGATAATATAAAGATTTGCGATAAAATAGGAAATACAAAATATAAGTAGAGTAGACATAAACAAGCGAAAAAAATATATAGCAATTAAAAATTTGTTAAACCAATAAAAATGATAAAATTACAATATATTATTTTGCTATATTAGGACTCTAAAATAATCACCTATATTTAAAATTGTATTCTCGAGTTAACCAATGTATAATAGTGATATAAAATAAAATTGTTAAGAAATAAAATTTAAATTTATATAAAACAATGATAAAAAGTAAATAAAACTAACAAGTTTCTAATCAAAAGGTATCGTCTATGATATTGGGAAGAAACAAATACAAAAGAAAAAACGATTGTCGTGTTCTCTGAGCTCTTAAAAGTTAAAATATGGTTCAATATCTGTTCTATTATTTCGAAAATTCGGATTGTTTTTAATGCAAATCGTCTAATTTATTTAAAGTTCTTTTTGTAAAGCTTCTATAATGACAATTGAACCATTATCAGAATTAAAGTGATACATGTTAACGTCATCTTTTTTGTGGTTTATTAGTTTTTAAAAGTATCTTGCAGTTTGTCCAATATAAACTTCTGGTCATGGCTTACACGGAAATTAGTAAACGATATTTGATTCCAACTCCAAATGAGTGTGAGCCTGAGTTTTGGTGAAAAACTTCATTTGTACGTTGCTCTCACACTTCAGTGAAATTTTTATTATTCCTGTGGTTAAGATATGACTTACTTTTACAGCAAGGCCTTTAACATATAACATTAACATAACATTCTTTTGTTATATTATTTTATATAAATAAATTGATGTCAATAAAAATAGATATATGTTTGACATTTCTGTTTTCCTTTTTGTTTTCTTCCTTTGAATTGTTTCTTTATTATTTCGATATTGTACGCGTTTAATAAGCAATTAACAAAAGTGTAATTCAACTTCATGTTTTGTGATATGTTCTTCTAATGTATCAGAATAAAGTCGTATTATTATTATACTAGGAGGGTAATTATTTTTAATTATGTACGGTTTTATTTTGCCTAAATTAGTTGTCCAAAGAAGTTTAGAAGATGGCAATAATATTGCCAAAATGTCGACAAAGTAAGAATTTGTTTTATAATAAATCCAACCCTAACATTAACATTATTGATAATAATGATACCCATAACATTAAAATTAAAAGTAAAGTATTTTTATAATAATAATAATATTTGCAAATTAAAAAACGAACCGAGTTTCGAAAAACATTCTTTTTAAATTCAGCGCATCTGGAGTGGAACGGCTTTGCGACTGAAATGCGATGACGTCCCGGTGACGTCGCCCCGTCTTTTAAATCCGTTTCCAATTAACCGATAATCCCATGTTCGAAAAAATATAGCGCCGTGCCAAAAACAAGCAAGCGGCTTACTTTGATCCACCATTAAAAGCTTAGATATCATACAAATGTCGCGAACCAGCGTCGAGGGTCCAAATACCATTTTGCAAGTTTGTAGGATCAGGTCCGGACTTTTTGGAGTTTCTGCGATTTTTCCCTGCGTACGGTTATAATATACTCGGCCTTAAACCGAAATCTACTAATCGTGTGATACTTAGGCCGCGATACACTGCGCACATTGTAAATATTTGCTACTCTATGGGGACAAAATAAAAAAAAACAGTTATTAAGTTCTTATAATTATTATGAACAACATCTATGAAATAGTTGGAAAAATTTGTCAATATGGCAAACGGAATTGTTACAAATTTACAGAAAACATGGGGCTGTCAGGCAGGCGCTATAATTTGTAGCTTATTAAATCCGTGGTTGTATCGTATCATAAATCGCATCGTTGTGTTAGTTATATAGATGGTTAAAATTATTTTCGTGGTATTTTATTGATAATATCAAATATTTAAATAGTTTTGCTGCATACTAGTTTAACTTTAAATAGTATTTTCCAAAAATTTTCAATTTTGGGATTATAATACACCTTCTTGCAGTCAATGAAGTTGCGTTTACAACAACTGACTTATCATATTTTTTTGTCATTTTTTCGATTTTCGGTATTTCGATCTTAATGCATCTTTATCAGTTTAGGAGTAAACTACTCTCACTAACGTGTAGATTAAAAGCTCAAATTTAAGGACTGTCAAGTTTTGTTATTAATGAAGGGAATTAGTAGAAACCTTCTAAGATGCTTCGAATTTAGTGCCACACTGTCAAAACCAAATACATTAAATTTATTAAGAAAAACCTTCAATGTTGTCTGCCTGTCATAGCACCTAAGGAACCATCAATATTCATTAGCCTTAAGTCATTGGCGATATTATGTTTCCATCCATGCTTACTGTAGTAGTTTAGATTTTACTTTTAGCACAATATTAGAATCTCCATAAAGACTTTCTGTTGATATATACAAAATTATTTAAGGATTCGTCTTTCGAAGGCATGAAGACGTTGTTCATTAGCCACCGTTAGCGCCCAAGCTTCACAACGATACATCATCACAGCTCTTATTATAGTTTATGCGCAGTAGTGTTTGGTACGTCTTGGGTAGCCTTTGGATTTTAGGAGGTTTTGCACTGGGTAAATACATGCTAGAAATTTGCTGTCGATTTACTCCGTTTTATAGGTGTTTTCTGTTAGTATATATTTGAACTTCCTGATACGTTCAAAGCTGAACTCGTCCATCGCGATGTTTTGGCCTACTCTGTCTGCGTTGCTTGTTTATCGCTTAGTACATACTTAGTCTTGTCTTCGTTCATTTTGAGACCGATGCTGCTTGCGCTTTTTTCATTTGCCATTTCCAAAAATTTCAACGTCGGCGCAAATCCCAAAAGTAAGTTGGAACCATTGTGATGATTACATGGCTGCAACCTAAGTCATTTGTACTATTTTTTTTTGGGTAGCCAAGTTCCTCCATTGATTGCCAATCCCTAACATTTTTCCATTACTTGCCTACAGGAAAATATTTGATTTATTGTGGATTGAACTCCCCTAACATCACATTTCAGTCTTTCTAGAATTTTATAGGTTATGTTAAGCAGAATGTTGTAAGGGGAGAATAAGTCCTTTCTATTCATCTAGAATTCCTTCCGTGCTCCATATGGCTTCTGGCAGATGGTGAATATCGTGGGATGTTATCAATTCCAGAAGCTTTATTGTCTTTAAATTTTATAATGACTTTTTGGAGTTCTTCAATGGCTGGCAAAATATCTTCGATTTCAGCTGTTTGTATTGTGTCTCTAAACATGTCACCGTTATTTTTCGGGTTAAGTAGCTGGTATAAATATTCGGTATTCATGACTTCTTTACATTCAATTATAAGATTTCTTATGAACTTTTCTGTTCTTGGTCGTATCCTTTTTTAATAATTGAGATTAGTTTATAACACATTTTTATATTTCTCAGTATATTTCAGAGATTTTTTTATTATTTCTCCTATTTCTTTCTTTTGTATATCTTCTTTATTTGGTTTATAGTTTACATTCTGTTATTTCTAATATATTTAGAATTTCTGTTCTCATCACTCTTCAACTTCACCCACATGTCATAAAACTTTATGTAATGAGATTACTGTGATATTATTTACGTAAAGTGATATAAACATTAGAATTCAATATTCGTAAGGGCAAATATATACGCAACTTTTGTGATGCTAAGTAATAGAGGACTTGTTCAAATGACCTAAAGACGTATTTAAGGATTTACAATATTATTTCCAAATAAAAAAGACTTTTTAATTTTCTGAGTATAAGTAAAAGTTATTGATGAACGTAAATCCAAAAACGTTAGTGTATGCATGTACGCTTACAGTCAAAGATTCTTAGCGATTTTATTATAACACAAAATTTTATCAATTCGAATAAAATAAATAACATTAAGGCAGCATAAATAAATTTTGTTCCCTTAGATTAGCAAAATCTTACATTGTGCAAGGTGCCAAATTTCATATGCGGACGCACTCACACACGCTGCTGCTGGTTCTTATTCGGAAATGACACCGGAAACGTCGAAAATAAAAACTAAAAACGGTCGCGTCAGTAACCGCCGTCCCGAAAACGACATTAGCGAGAGCAAATATAGTTTACGTTCTAATGTTTAAAGAGTCTCTTACGCAGCGAAGTTAATTGAAAGCTGCGCGGGCGATAATTTGCGCGCGAAATGCGCGCGTCGTGTCGTAAAGAAACTGCGCAGGCGCCGAGCGCTGGGTCCTGCGCCCGGCTCACCCTGCAGGCTACGACCCGGTCGCTCCTGCAAATAAATATAGACAAGCGTTAAAACTGATAGATAACAGTCAAACAAACCGACAAACGGGGCCAATACTTTGAAAAAAGGCCCTGGGAATGATAGATTACGTTTTCGTAGTCGATCTTCCAAGCAAGTCTACTTTAGGCAAAGAACGGATTTTTTATTGATGAGACTTTTTTCATTTTCTCATAAGCAGGTGCCAGATTTATAGGATATATGGATCTGTTGAGTCTGATTACAAAATAATTATTATGGGTCATTTTGGTTGTCTACAATCTAAAAAAAATAAATTAACGCAAAAATTAGAAAAAGATATACTGTATTATCTGAGTATGGCTATGAAACTTCCTGGGACTGCCTGAATCTGAAATACCGACGGAGGGAGGGGAGAATAAAATGACGATTTTATTGCTTCACGGCGGACCGAATTCGCCATAATACATCTAAACATCATTTTCACTATCGAGTTAGAAAATTACAACCACACACTCTTCCCTTTGTATTAATTGAAAACCAGACCCTAACCCTAAGCCATTACGTGTATAGAAAAGCGACTCATACTGATCAAGTGCAATCACGAATCCCTTAACAAGGAATTAACACATCGCACCTCAATTCTTCCTTCAAACAATTTTCATTACGAAGATATCATATGTTTGATTAAAGAACACATTTCACCAGAACTACTTATACAAAGTAACGCCGTAATTGAAATTCAATTTGCCACTGTAGTAGTTCCGTAGGTCCAAAATGTTACCTATCAAATTTCAAAACTTCGGTAAAAACATTACATCAAAACTAGATTCCCTCTCTAACACAGAACATCCGTTGAAAAAATCCTGTTCATCTAGCATGAAAACCTTTCAATAGTTTAAATGATGACATTACAAAGTATTACTGTAACAAAATTGTTAAAAAAATATTAAACCTTTGCAATAGCAGAAATCCGCAGCACTGTTAATTAAGTTATTCAAGTCCCAGAGCTGATTTGGATCAGAAAGGAAGTGGTATTTTTTTTGCATTTTAATAAAATTATTTACAAATCTTCTGGATTCCTCCAACGTCATTTGTTGATGAATCGAACTTGATAACGTCTCGCCAATTATCCTGTTTGCTTCTTCAGAGCTTGGCTGAAACGCATTCTACTCTGGAACTGCTTCTATATAGTTCGAGCGGGGCGGAGTTAAAGGATGTCTGTCTCGGATGACTGACACCCATATTGGTGAAAGGAAAAATCTGAGTCGTGGTTAAGATTATTTTGTTGCTTATAGATTTTTATAGATTCTAGGATTTTTCGTTAGTAGAAGAATTGATTACATGCAAGAATTTTAGTTCTATCGAACAACATTTGAAGTCCGGTTTCGTGATTGTGGTTGGCAACTGCTGATGAGTTATTTGTCGTGGTTTGAATACTCTTTCATGTTCTTTGAGTCTAGTTGATATTTTTCGTCCGGTCTCTTCAATGTATTCTTTGCCGCATATGTATGGAATGACGCATATGCGTCAAACTCCTAGTATCTCCAACGGAATTTTGTGTTTGACGGATCGAAGATGTTGAGAGATTTTTACACAAGTGGTAGTTCTCGGTTGAACGTTATATTTCTTAAGAAATTTTGATAAACTAGTTAGTGATGTTTTGAATGTAAGGATAGACAACAGTGGCAAGTGTGTGGTTGAGGGGGGAGGGTGGGGGGGTGTCGGAAGTGTAAAGAATTTAAATGGCTAAAAAAATTTTGGAGGGATTCTTGACCATCAGGCCAAATAACAAAAGCATCATCAACATAGCGTTTCCATAATTTTGGTTTTAGATGGAAGGTGTCGAGGACTTTCTATTCAAAGGCTTCCATGAATATCATCGCCATGGTGATAACAGAGAAACCATAGCTATTCCCGACGTTTGTTTGTTTTAAGAAAAATATGTTCCAGCAAGCATTTTTCTATTAATCTAAAAAGATTTGGTTCCAGATTTATTAAATTCTGAGAATCGGGAAGCAAATCTTTTTAGATTAATAGAAAAATGCTTGCTGGAACATATTTTTCTTAAAACAAACAAACGTTTTAGAAATAGGGACCACAGCAAAGAGTAATTTTAGGTCGCAATTAACCAGAATATCGTCTAGATGGTTTTTAATTGTTAAATGAAATGAAATCAATGAATTAATAAAGAAGTTAGATATTTTGCTATAGAATATGTTGGAGAAGTAATGGTGCTGATAGTAGATCGAAGAGGTAATGCAGTTTGGGAATCTTAGGTAACCCGTAGAGACGATTAATTTTAGAGTCATGAGTCATTAATACAGATTTAAGATTGCGTTCGATAGGTGACGTAGGATCTTTTTTAAGTTGATGATAGGATCCGTCTGTAAAAATATTTTGAACTTTTTCCTGATATTCACTTGTATACATGATCACCGCATTTCCTTATTCTGCTTTTAAAATTACGTTGTCGCGATTAGATTTTAGGAATTTTAGAACAATGCCTTCAGGCTTTGGAAAGTTAGATTTAGGAAGTTTGGTTAAAGATTTTTGCGGCTTCAAATCGAATTTCAGAAATGATTTTACTGTCTCAGAATGTTAGTGCAATGATACGTTTACATTTTTTAATGTGATTCTGGGTGGAAGATAAAAGAATATTTTCAGCTATATCATGAATCATGTTTATCATGTTTGTTTTTAACTAATCATCGTAGACAGCCACCCTTTGGCTCCGCCCCCTCTAACAGTTTATATAGTTCCATAGGTCTATAGGTCTTGATGACATAAATCATAGTTTGAAGGATGATTTATGTCATCAAGAGCTAATTACAGTTTACAGATTAGAGGAACGTATTCTCCATTTTTGTAATTGATTGTTATGAATCTAATAATTTAATCATTACCATAGGGGTCTCTTTTAGTGGTCTACAGATGATATTAAATCAAAAGCTCCAAACAAATTTATATTAAAAGTGGATATTTTTGCGAAATTAATATTTGGTCCGTTCAGTTTCCAAAGTTTTAAAGCAACAATAAATCTTGATTGTAGTGCATTGGATGATGACTGTTTTATGTCAACAAGAGGTAATGACGGTTTCTCAGGTTAGCGGAATACAATCTTCTACAATATATTCGTCAGCCATATAACATATACTAGATTTACAATTTGTTATATGCAAATTACAATAAAATTTATTATAATTTTATTTTTATTATTATTTTGTGAAACAACTATATTAACTTTTCAAGTAAAGTTCAACAGGCTATTGTAATACCATTTACAAATCTTCTGGACTTCTCCTGCGTAGGTTATTGATGAATCGAACTTGCTGACTCTTCGCCAATCATCCTGTTGACTTATTCAAAGCTTAACTGAAACTGGCTAGCATTCTATTCTGGGCCTGTTTATAAATTGTTAGAGGGGGAAGCCAAAGGGTGTCTATTTCGGATGACTCATTTGGTGATTCGGTAATTCGGTGACCTGATTCGCGGTAACTACTGTTTAGTTGCTTATAGATTTCTATAGATTCTTGAATTTGAGCCTAGTTGATATTTTTCTCCCGGTCCCTCCAATATATTCTTTGACGCATATGCATGGAATGCTGTAAACTCCTGGTATCTCTTTGACGGATCGAAGATTTTGAGAGATCTGTGTTTAACGTCATATTTCTTAAGAACTTTTATTATGTGCTCAGTGATGTTTTGAATATAAAGAGGGGCGATAGTGGCAAGTATGAGGTTGCTTCCGGACTCAATGTCTTTCTAAGATTGTGGTGAAGTGAGAAGAGCAGACGTAAAGTGTTTTAATTCTGCGTTCAGTGACTGGGGATCAGTTAACAACAAACATGATAAACATGATTCATGAAAAAGCTGAAAATTTTCGCTTATCTTCCACCCAGAATCACATTCAAAACACCCAGAATCACATTCAAAAATGTAAACGTATCATCGCACCAACTTTCTGAGACAGTAAAATCAGTTTTAGCAAAAGGTTTCAATTTCTTCGTTGAATCACGTATTATCCCAAACGAGAAAATTCTTTCACATGTCATCAACTACCATCTCAAACAGTTAATGAAATTCGATTTGAAACCGCAAAAATCCTTATCCAAACCTCCTAAATTTAATATTCCCAAGCCTGAAGGCATTGTTCTAAAATCTCTAAAATTTAATCGCGACAACGTAATTCTAAAAGCAGAATAGGGAAATGCGGTGATCACGAACACAAGTGAATATCATCAACATAAAAAAAATCCTACGTTACCTATGGAACGCAACCTTAAATCTGTATAAATGACTCAGGACTCTAAAATTAATTGTCTCTACTATCATTTCTTGTCAGCACCATTGTTTGTCCAATATATTCTATAGCAAAATAGCTAACTTCTTTATTAAAACCCTTTGAACGGAAAACTGATAGTTTCGTACTTAATTCATTAATTTCATTTCATTGAACAATTAAAAACTATTCCATTAGATCCAGAGGATATTCTGGTTAGTTTCGACGTAAAATTACTGTCAACATTATTTCAGATACAATAAAATCTAAGAATGTGGAAACAAATCTTCTCACCTTAATTGAAAAATGCTTGTCTAAAACATTTTTTTTTTTAAACGGTCAACAAACAAATGTCGAGAACAGCTATGGTTTCTCCATGATCATCAGTCAAGGCGATTAGGTTTATGGAAGGAAGCCAGAAAGTCCTCGACACCTTCCATCTAAAACTAAAATTATGAAAACGCTATGTTGATGATTCTTTTGTTCTTTGGCCTCATGGTCAAGATTTTCTTAGCCATTTACACTTTATACACCCTCCCCAACCCTACCCTTGCTACTGTTGCCCATCCTTACATTTGAAACATCATTAACTACATATCAAAGTGCAAAATTTGGTCGTTTGTCGGTTTGTTTTCTGATATCAGGCGGTAGCCAGTAGATAACTCACCTACTGCTAAACGAACCACTCGTCCTTTTGGGCGGGTTGGTCCTGCCCGTTGGCGGGTGGCGCCGACGGGTGTGGCCGGCCTACCCGGCCGGGCAGTAGGGTTGCTCCCGGGCCGGCGGCGTGCTGTTGCGGAACCCGGGTGGGCCCACAGGGCGGCGCCAGTTTCCCGACGATGGTGGAACGCATGCGCCGGCCGCGTCGGCCAGCGTGGTCGTACTCGAAGCTTGTTTCATCACGTGCCCGTTCGAACCATACATCTGGCCTACTGGAACCAAACGCAGAACTTTTAATAATAATAACAACAAGCACTTAGAGGTGAAGAACATAAAATTTATTATTAATTATTATTTATAATTAATTACCCGCTCCCCGGTTGTATATGCGGAAAATCAATAAAGCGTATGTTACAAAGTTGTCTGTATCATAATTTTGATTAAAATTTATAGTTGTTAAAGAAATAAAAGTAATAAAAGGTTACTCAATTACATAACAAATTATGTATTATGAATAAAAAATAAGCGTAATAAAAACGGTCACCAGTCATTGCGCTTGACTCTAGACCCAGCTGAAATAGTTCACAGAGTGCTGAGAAGTAAGAAAAAATATTCCTAGAGGCTGACCTTACACCTGATCAGCGCTCGGAATTGAACGCACTAAAGAACGAGTTGAAGGGAAGACAGCGAAATGGAGAACCTAATCTCTTTCTAAAATATGTAAACGGAGTTCCTAAACTCATTGCAAAAAACTAGACTCCTTGTCCTTACTTATATAATTCCAAAATGATAGAGGACTGTGCACCAAGCTTCAGCTTCTCTTTGAGAATGTGTCTTACTCCCAAATATGATATAGACAGTGCAGAACAACAGATGTTTAACTACAATATATACCGTAAGGACAGATCTGCAGAAACTAGTACCTTTGAGAGGGGAGGTGGAGTTATAATAGCGGTCTGTAAGACTATTTCATGTAAAGTTTTACCAGCTTCGAAATCTGAATAGCAACAAATTTATACTGGCTACAGCCTACTTGCCACCGAAGTGTTCCTTTGAGAAATATGCAGAATTTGGAGAGAACCCGGAAAGACTGGTTAAAGAATACCCCAGTCATAAGTTGTGAGTCCTAGGCGATTTCAACCTGCCCAACAGTTGGTGAACCAAGAAAGAATTAACCTCAGTTGCAAATCCTCTGGCGGGAAGAACACAGAGTGAGATCGAATCCACTAATCTACTATCTTACCTATGCTCCTACCTCAACCTCTTCCAGATAAAGACAGTCAGAAACGTTCACGACCAACTTCTGGACCTAGTGTTCGCACAAGATGGCGGAATTTTAATAGTTGAGGCGGATAGTGCCCTACTGCCAATAGACTTTTGTCATCCACCACTCTCATTTTCCTTGCAATGTGATTCAGTACATTTCAACAGTTCTGGTCTAAGGGGTGACGGTCTTTATAGAGATTTTAAATCAGTGGACTTGGGTGCAGTGACTGAGTTTTTGTCGCAGTTCGAATGGGACAAGTTATTTACTAACAACACCCTTGAGGATATGGTCAACATGGTTTATTTATAGTTTATTTAGTTATCGATATAAAGAAGTTTTCGGCTAAGAAGTTTCCAGTTAAAAGCTTAAAGATGCGATAATTGAGAAGAAGAAATCACATAAACGATATCTTGGGATCGGAATATATGCAGACCATACGAGATTTTCATTCCTAAATGCTAAATGTAATGTTACCAGGAATATATATCTCTGACTGAATCGTCCTTAAGAGAAAAAGTAAAAAAAAATTAGGTCCGTTAACAGTAAAAAGGAAAGGAACCTTATTCCTTCGATTGTTGTGCACTTTGGCTACGTGACCTATTCTGTGGGTGAGGATACTGTCAGTTTATTTGCAGACTATTTTTCGAACATGTATGGTGACAGGGACTGTGTCTCTGAAGATGCACCGCCTACTGGAGATGTCAGCCTTTCACATTTGGACATTTCAATTTCATCAATTTATGAGAAACTGTCTGCTATAAATAAAAACAAAGGATCCGGTCCCGATGGCCTCCCAATATTGCAGCTTGATACTTTCTAGACCCACCCATCTTTAAAAACGGGAACTTTTCCAACTTACTGGAAATCAAGTTTTATTACCCCTATCCTAAAATCCGGCGATAACTCTCAAGTCTACAATTATAAACCCATCAGTATCCTGAGGTGTATTCCTAAAGTGTTCGAAAGTTAGTCTGTGACTATTTATTTGCTGGCCTGAAAGTTTGCTTTATCGACTAAAAATTTGGATTTCTCCCCCATCAATCCACGGAGCTAAACTTGCTTACATTTACAAATTTTTTGCTGGAATCATTAGAAAAAGGGTCTCACGTTCATGCCATTGACACAGACTTTTCAAAGGCATTTGATAGAGTAAAACATGAAATCTTAATCAAAAAATTGCGAAAGATTGGAATCCAGGGAAAACTTTTGGGATGGTTAACATCGTACCTTACTGAAACGGTCGAGATTGCGCGCGTCCACAGTTCCGATCCACCGAAATTAAAGTGCCTTCTGGTGTTCCGCAATATCTATGTCTATATGAATAATATGGCTTCATGTTATCATCATGCATTTTTCCTATTATTTGCTGAATACCTAAAATTCTATATGAGAGTTCAAAATGTTGATTACTGTATAAAACTCCAATCCGATTTAGATCACCTCTCGCTATGGTGCGATTTTAATGGAATGCAACTTAATATTTATAAATGCCAACTAATGAACTCCCAAACGAAGCCGAAACTCCATACATTATACTTATAACATAAAAGGGTCACCGTTATTGCAGACCTCCCTAATAAGAGATCTTGCAGTGTTACTGGATATTAAATTGACGCATCTATTGTGTCTAAATATGTCTAAAGTAGTACCAACAATCTACTGCACTCAAATTCTCATGGACTTGAGCTGTTATGTAAGATTGGGCTTTCCACCTTCCAGGTGGAGTTCCATTGTACTAAGTATTACACAATTACTAACAATGCATTTACTCAATAAAATATAAAATAATTTTGATTTTTAATAATTACATGACATTGTTCGACAATCTGACTTATATTTATAAGGTTTGACATATGATTTAATGAAACACCAAAAGCAGCCACTTTTTTAATGTAAAAAAAACAGCAGATAGAAGAAAGGACAATATTAGTGAAAATATTGAAAAGCTATATAATCCAGACCCCACAAGACACACCCCTACGTCCGAAGCCAATGTATCATCGTTGTCGAGGGAAATTTCAGGAGTAAATAAACTTTAAAAATGTTTGATTTTCGAAAAATCAACAAAGATCAAAGAGAAGCAATTATATTTGTGCTCCGAAATTACAACAGCGAAAATTTTTTTAAATGATTCGCGTAGTAGGCAGATTATATTATGCACGACTTGGGAATTTGTTTTCCATTGTAGTAGGATATCAAGAATTCAAGAAATCCACCAGGTCGACGGTCAACTCAAATCCCCCAAGAAATACCATGCATTTGAAAATATGATGACGAAATTACAGATAAGTTTTCGACTCATTCTTTTGAAATTCGTTTTTTGGCTGAACGGTTCGCTCAACTTATTGACATGGAGCATGCGGTGATCGAAAATAGTGTAGTAGAATCACTACTTCTTATCGATTATTTTCATATCCAGCTGATTTATCAAAATTGGCCAAAGTAATAGGCAGGTTCGACGATAAAAAAAAACAATACATATATATATATATATATATATATATATATATATATATATATATATATATATATATATATATATATATATATATATATATATATATATATATATATATATATATAATATATATATATATATATATATATATATATATATATATATAAATTATATATATATATATATGTATATATATATATATATATATATATATATATATATATATATATATATATATATATATATATATATATATATATATATATATATATATATATATCTATATATCTATATATATATATATATCTATATATCTATATATATATATATATATATATATATATATATATATATATATATATATATATATATATATATATATATATATATATATATATATATATATATATATATATATATATATATATATATTATATATATATATATATATATATATATATATTATATATATATATATATATATATTATATATATATATATATATATATATATATATATATATATATATATATATATATATATATATATATATATATATATATATATATATATATATATATATATATATATATATATAATATATATATATATATATATATATATATATATATATATATATATATATATATATATATATATATATATATATATATATATATATATATATATATATATATATATATATATATCTCACTTGGCATCTTCAATGCTCGCGCTCCGAAAACACTTCGAACACGGAGCGCGCATTGAAGATGCCAAGTGAGATTTTGGGGGAAACGTCTGCAGGATTCCAGTCGGATGCAGGATTCCAGTCGGAGTTCAACGAGCGAACGGATGATATCCCGGAATATAGTGTCATCACATTTTTTCCATCCATGAATCAATACGTGAGAATATATATATATATATATATATATATAATATATATATATATATATATATATATATATATATATATATATATATATATATATATATATATATATATATATATATATATATATATATATATATATATATATATATATATATATATATATATATATATATATATATATATATATATATATGATGACACTATATTCCGGGATATCATCCGTTCGCTCGTTGAACTCCGACTGGAATCCTGCATCCGACTGGAATCCTGCAAATCTTGCATCCGACTGAAATCCTGCAGACGTTTCGCCAAAATCTCACTTGGCATCTTCAATGCTCGCGCTCCGAAAAACACTTCGAACACTGGGAGGTTATCGGCGGTGCGTGCGGTATTTATACTCTGCGCCGGAGATGGTAAACGGTGCTGCTTGTGCGTGGGGGGAGGTGGCTCCGCCCCCTGAATTGTCGCGTTGTTAATTTCGCCCGATCGTAGTTGCGATGTCCCCGTTGGCTGCTGCGCATCGCTCTGCTGTTTGATTATCGTTCTCCACGTGTTGGATAAATGCAGAGCGTCGTCTCTCGTATTGAGGTGTCCGGACTTTTCTATTTCGATGGCCTCTCGTATAATCCTAGTCCCTAAAATCAGGAATATTAGCTATTTGTTTGCAAGTGCCGAAATCAAATTTTATGGCCTGTCTGATGTTGGTGCTGAAACAAAGCAGATGTTGTTTGTTTGTTTTCTTATGGCTAAACGATGTTCCTCGAGCCTGGCTGAAATTCTTCTGTTGGTCTGTCCCACATACGTCAGGCTGCACGATCCGCATGCTACACTGTATACTCCTTGGTTTTCCAGAGTAATTTTTTGTTTTGGGTTTCTTAGTATTGCTCCGATGGTATGGTCAGGTTTGTATGCCGTTGATATGTCGTGTTTCCGTAATATTCGGCCGATTTTGTCAGTAACCCCCTTGATGTATGGCAGGACAGCGATCGATCTTCGTTGGGTCTCGTCCTGCACTCTCTGCTGCGGCTGTTGTTGTTTACTGATTGCGGACGAGACCCAACGAAGATCGATCGCTGTCCTGCCATACATCAAGGGGGGTTACTGACAAAATCGGCCGAATATTACGGAAACACGACATATCAACGGCATACAAACCTGACCATACCATC